ATGGATGAATGCAGCACCCTTCCTGAACTCAGCATGCTGTTTTACACCAATTTTAGCATTTTGGCGGTAAGCGCTTATTTTGGGAGCCTTCTCGAACGCACAAAACACAACTGGAAGGGTGGGGCGTGAAGTCAGAACTGCTGGCTTATTTTTCATTCCAAGAGAAAAAGAGTTTTTTTGGCACAAATGCCCGGAGGTTAGGACACGGCCCACCCGCTTGTCTCATTTGTACAATACTTGGCTTCACCTGAAATGTGACTTCTTCTTCTTTTATTATTATTCCCATTAGGTACCCAATTCGAGCCAAACAGTAAGTTTAATTTTAATTCCCACTTTGAGCCCTTTATAATGCATCTGTAGGCAGATTGTACTTAATGATACTTAATGGCAACTCTCCCACTATAATTAAGGAATAATGGGGCGGTTATCGCTAGGTAGATTTTCCGAGTTGACATCTCTATTTTGGTGGTGAATTTTAAAACTGTTGCAAAGCAAACTTGATCTCCTTGGAAGGAGGCAGCGCGGCCCAAAAGATGAATCTGGTCAGGGCGAAGGAGAAAAGAGGCAGCTGGTGTTTCTCTGCTGTCTTGGCTTCCTGGGGAAAAATGGAAACTAATCGCCTCTCTGTACGAAAGTAATAAAATTTTTCTTACTGTGGATAATTAGTAAAATTTTACTTTAAAACATTTCACCCATTCCAGAATGGAAAACTTTTCCCAACAGAGGAAGTTTTTTAAAGGGGTATGTCAATTTTTCCTTGAACACCTGTCAATTACACAGAGAATAAGGGAGAATATATTCTTTTCCAGATAACTTTCCTTGCTCTTTCCTGGGACTTCCTTGTCACTAGTGTGTTATGTGGTTCAAGTCATATATTTTGCTAACTCAACGGTTTAATCATCGTTTGAACAAACCACACCCTAGGCCTAAACCCCCAGCCGTAATGTCTGAAGCCTGCCTGTGTACAAAATAAACTTGGATCAAGTGGTTGTTGCTTATGAATCTTTTCAGGTTAACCTCACCATCCAGTCCATCACAATTCAGACGCCAGAGGGGCTGCGCACTCGCCTGGCCAACGCAGATGTTGTGTTGCTCCCTGCATTAAATAATCAGTCGTGCAGCAACGTCGTTCTTGAGGTAGGCAGCTCTCACCATTTCATGCAGGGACGACAAACTTTTGCACTTAATCCCAGAGAAAACGCGGAATGTTTCACAGTGTCTTCACTACCTCGGTTAAAGCTCTGTGCTAAACCAAGATTTATGTCAGGCAGGTCCAACCTTTTGGCTTGCTTGGACTGCCTTGAGTGAAGAGACACATATCGCATGTAAAATTAACGCATATAAATCACGTAATGTTAAAAGTTTACAATCTTGTGGGGCCGCATTACTAGCTGTCCAGGGCTGCGCCCTACCCATGGGCTGTGGGTCGGACATGCATGGTTTATGTTAACCATGGACGGTTTATGAATCATCCCGGGTTGGTTGAGCCTAGCAGAAAGCCTACCTAGATTTATGGAGGCCTCTACTTTGCTGCCTTTGTTGAACTAAAATGCTAAAACAGGAGAGAAAGAAAGGGCATTTTTGTTCAGCTTGATTAGGGCACCTGGAATGTGGCCCTTTCGGAGACTTGGCCGGCTTCCATCCCGGGAAGCTCTGAAGCCCTGGCTTTTCTCCCAGGCTCTGGGCTGGGGTGGCCAGAGCCTTTTCGTCTTACTGACCGGATTCGCCATCTTGTTTCAGGATTTTATTCTGATGATAGGAATATGAAAGCCCTATAAAAGCCAGATGTTGCGAGCCACCCCGAGTAAATTTGGAGCCGGGCAGCACCTGAGTCAAACAAAGTAAATCACCCTTGCTTTTCAGGCCAGTTACCTCCTAACCTTTACCGAGGCAGGTGAAATCGTGGAGGCAACCATCTCGCTGGTTCTGGGGACAGTTCATAGCAGTGCCGTTTTTCTGCAGCAGGTGTTTGCCATCCGTTTCATACAGGTAACGCCTAAGTTATGTGAATATATATTTTTTAATATTGAATCTCCCCCAGAGCACTGGAGACTTCACACTGGAAGACAGGTATTTCTCAAAAGGAAGGGGGAAGCATTCAAGATTTATATTTGAATTTCAGCTGTGATTTGGTTTGAGTCACTATTTCTCATTGCTGATCATTGTAATAATAAAAATAGCTATTTAATAAAGCAGTCCCTACAATGCTAAGAGATTTGTGGCCTGGTATTCAAAGCAAAATCAGTCATTTGCAACATTTACATTGTTGTTTTTTTAAACTTTTTTTAACAGCAAGCTACTCGGCCTGTTCCTTTCAGCGGAAGCCCAGGTTATCTCGTTGGGTTACCAATAAGAGCTGGATTTAGATCAACTGGATATCCTTTTTTGTCCATAAGCAGGGGAAAATGATCATCAGTCCCTTTTTTCAGGGCCATTGTAACTTTGAACTGTCACTAAACGAATCTTTGTAAGTCAAGGACTACCTGTAGCTGGTATTGTGGAGCTGGGCAGTGCTTTGAACCAGTTCTGCTGCTTGTACTAGTTCTGCCCTCATGTTTGCGAGCCACAACTCGTGATGTGTATATATTGTGCAAATCCAACTAATTGAGGCTAATTTAGTATTCCAGGATTAAAGAAACCACCCATAAGCCCGGCTGCTGCACCAAAACTTTTGTTTTTCCTTCACTCGCTGCCTTCACCTCTGGAGTCATTCAGAGTTTGAATGAAGGAAGCCAGCTGACCATGATGAAAAGCACCACAAGCCAGGATTGTTTCCAGGCAGAAGGGAGCCGAACCCCAGTCTTGTTTGGGTACAATATGGTGTCCGGATGCAAAGTGCGGTAAGGAATAAGACGGCTGCGGTTCTGACATGTCGTCTCCCCTCCTCACTTGGATGCTGGGAAGGTGGATCATTGCAACAACTACTCTGTCCAACGTGGTAGCCGCTTTTTCTGGTCCCGAAGGCCTCAGGAATTGCTAGGGGGGCTTTTGTGGAGGGGTGAGGAGAGGGGCTTCTCGGCCCACACCTGGAAGCCACCACCTTGGGGAAGAGCCCTCTCGTGGTCTTTCCCCTGCTTGCTTCTGAGTTATGGGTAATCTCACCCCACCTTCCAAAAGAACACAAGCCTAGTTTCACTTCACTTTTTCCCAGGCATATTGCATAAATTTATCAGGCCGCTGGGATGCTTGACAACAATTTTCTTTCCTTGAAGAATTACCGAGAGTGCCGAATGTACACTTCTGGCTCCAGAGATCCTAAGGGTGTTGAAGGGCCAAAATTTTCCAGACTACGTGGCCTCTTTTGGAGATTCCTTGCCTCAGAACAGACTGGACTGGGTCGAAATCTCTTACAATGCCACCAAACCGGTAAGAAGTCAGGCTAACATCTCACTGGATGTTTCCTTCCTCCCTCAAGAACTGTCCTGGAAAAGAAACAGTACCCCAAGACTATTTGGGGGGGGGCATGCAAGTAGGCTACGTAACAACATATATCCTATGTAGGCAAAGTTATTTTAAAAAAAACAAGAACAGCAACCTCGAAACACAACACATAAAGATGATGGGGAATTTACTGATGTCCCCAAGGACTTTAGGGTGCCGCTTTCATTCTTATCCGCTGACTCAAACGCTCCAAGCCCCGTTGACAGGACAAAGTGCAGGAGTTGGGGGGGGCACCCCCCCCCCTCATGCAAAGCAGGCCTTGTGACCAACAAGACTTCTGACTCTTTTTCAGGCCATCTGTGAAATCCCCGTGTCCTTGGAAGTGGAAGTGAAGTGGACTAAATACGGCTCCTTGGTTAACCCCCAGGCTAAAATCGAGAGCCTCACAGTGATCATAACCACTGCTGCCTTACCCAAGGTGGGTGGTGATCTTCTGGGAAGTTGAGGGGGGGGGGGGGGAGGGGAAGAACACTGGCAGCTTATTTTTAACTTTAGCACACTCATTCCGTGATCGCAAGGGATGGTGGGTGGCTGTTAAGACATCTGCCTAATAAAACTGGCATTCTCTTCTGAAAGGGTAACCTTGGCATCTTGCAGCTATGCTGGCTGGGGAATTCTGGGCATTGAACTCCACACATCTTGCAGAGGTTGAGAAACTCTGGTCTAGATCCCATTTGGGGCGGGGTGGGGGAATGATCTGACTCACACTCTCTCTCTCTCTCTCGCTCGCTCTTATAGGTCAATTCAGGAAGTGAAACCATCGTCCAGATACTCAGCTCTGTCTCGTTTGTGGATATCTCTGTCCCTGCACAGCCAGGATACAAAGCTTGGCCCACCATTGAGGCCCACCTGCCCTTTGATTTTTTCTTCCCTTTTGTTTAAAGCCACCTGCAGAATCCGAAGATGCCGGCTTTGTTTTGTTCCTTTCAAGTGGGAGCCTTTCTTCAGATCCATGCTTGACGATCATCTTCCTTCTGCTGCTGCCTGTTCATAAGGGCCGAGTACGGACCACCGAGGCACCGATCCTGCCAGGTGCTACTGCAGATGGGGAAGGCTGGGAAGGGAAGTCCATGCATTCAGCAGGCCCCAGATTGGAGAACTTGGCTTGCTATGTCCCGAGTCAAGTATAACGGGGGTCTTCAGGAACTTAAGATGCAGTCCTTAATGGCAGATGCTCAGATGGCAGATGCTCAAAGGGCATCAGAAAAAGAAAGGATTAAAATTCTGAAACCGGGACGTTGGAGAAGGAGCCTGCCCTTAAGAAACCTCTTCCGCCTCTCACGAGGGTCGCTTTTGAGAACTACCGGAAGCCACTTCCAACGATGGATTTGAATTTATTACATTATTTCCACTAAGCTCAATAGTGAGCTGTACAAGAAAGGACGGCATAGCTCACTTGATAGTGCTGGGGCTGTCCTACCACGCCGGGTCTCCAGAAGAGATCTAGGCCAGCCGAGTCCCAGTTGGGTGCCCTCCAACCAGCCCCGCCTCCGCGCACGATGGGGAGGATGGCAGGAGGCAGCGTCCACTCTATCTGAAGGGCATCAGCTTCGGAGGAAAGCAGCCCGTGCTGATAAATAAATGTGCCAAAGGATATATTTACAAGGTCACCCTGTAAACAGAGAGTAGCTTCTCAGGGCCAAGGAAGAGATTTCAGATCCAGGTCAGGCCTCTTATTTGGACTGGCTGAGGAGCCCATGTTGCTTCAAGAGACTGTTCAGCCTTTCAATTTCTGTTTCCTGTTGAAGAACAAGAAATGAGGTGATTTCCTGGGTCCCTCAGGCCTGGATGCATGTTTTGATCAACAGCCCTTTTCCATTTTGGTGATGGGGGAATGGGGAACGTTGCAAACAGAAGAAAGAAAGTGGAATTTTAAAGCTCTGAGGGAAACCTATGACCAATTACCTCTTCAGTATTGAATAAAAATAATCACAGCTGAATTTTCTCAGCTATTCCTATGGATTCTTTTCCTTTCATTTGTTCCTGGCTACATTTTATATTTCATGGGGGGACAAAAAAACCAAAGAGTTCTGGGCTCTTGTAAGAGCAAAGTCAAAGCTGTGCCATTACATTGGAATACATTTAATGGCAAGTGCCCTAGAAATCTCCTCGTTTCTGCTGGGTCCAGGGCCATCCTCTGGAAGGCATTAAAAACTCACCTTCTCTGCACAGCTGCTTTCCAGCTGCTGGACTTTGACACTCAGCTGCAAGTTGGCTTGCTTCAGCTTGGAGATCTGCTGTTCTGAGCGAGTCTTCATGGATAAGATTATTCCTGCAGATGGAATTGAAGGACGGGACAGTTTACAAAAACTTTTATTGGCCAGGCCCGAGGGCCACTTGAACATGAGCAGGGCAACATATTTACAGCAAACATCCTGCTTCGGAAGCCATGACAGAAAAGGGGATGGAGGTCTGGGATTGTATAAACACGGACAAACCTGGAGGCGAACTCAGTCCTCAAAAAGAGGGAAACTGATCAAGGAGAGGAGCAACCTGGAGCCAGGGAGAGATTTCCTGGCACCGAGAATGAGGTCGTAGGTGTTCCAACACTGGAGATTTTCAAGAAAAGATTGGACAGCCATTTGCCTGGCCTGGTCTAGGCTTTGCTGCCTGAGCAGGGGTTGGACTAGAAGACCTCCAAGGTCCCTTCCAACTCTTGTTATTCTCTTACTCGGGGGTCTCCCGTAGGATCAGGCCTCTGAAAGCCCACCCACGGAACCAACGGGCTTTGTCAACATGGGAGTAACGACAGGAGAGAAGAAGGCAGCAAACCGAAGCCCCTCCCCTCCCCCTTGTGACTGTAGGACTGGAACTGTGTCCCTTGTATCCTTACGATTTATATGGACTGTTTCCAAGTATGATTTGATGGCTTATTGTGCCCCGGGACTATCATTATGCGTTGGACGTGATGTTTCTTGACTCTTGACGGTTGTATCTGAGATTATTTACACCAAGACAAATTCCTTGTGTGTCTAATCACACTTGGCCAATAAAAGCTATTCTATTCTATTCTATTCTGCTCTTATTCTATCCTATTCCTATTCCTATTCTATTCAGAAAAACAGGATGGAAACACTCAAGGTCAAGTTGTTCAAGAAGAACCAGCCGAAAGTCTCGGTCTTTAGGTCAGGGAGCCAAGAGTTTAGCCAACCCCAAACGTTCTAAAGGAGGAGGAAACTCCCACTCGAGGGTCTCCATCATTCTTGGATTAAATTGGACGCCATCCTGGAGTTTAGTTCCCAATATGGCTCTTCGAAACCGCCCCGCTTTCCAGCCGTACCGTTGATGATCCTGGCCACCCGCCACAGCCTGAGCAGGATCAGCAGACCGAGCGCTTCAAACTGATGTTCCTTGAAGAGGACCACAATGTCCAGGATGAAGGAGACGACGACCACCAGGGCGTCCAAGACCTCAAACTTGTGGTGGAAGAACTCCAGGCGGTAGGCGAAGAGCTTGAAGCTGACTTCCACCAGGAAGAGGGAGAGGATGGAAAGGCTCAGGTAGTGAAGGACCTGGGGGGACACAGAAGGGAGGTGACAAAAGCCGCCCAGGATTACAACGGGGGAGTTTGGGGATGGCGCAAGACACAAAACGGCTCTTCGCCTTTTTAAAAATCATTATTATTAGCAGCCTTGGGCAGGAAGATGCAATGCATTATTCAGGCAGCCCTTGACTTACAACTGCAATGGAGCCCAACAGTGAGGGGTGTGGGACCTTTTTTTTTTTGGACCCAGTTAAAAGAACCACTGCCGTTGTCAGCTTTTCTTGTCGGAGGCCAGCTAGGAAGGTCCCACAGGATGATCACGTGACCTTGGGAGCCTGCAGCTGTTCTAAGTACATGCCAGTTGCCAAGCCCCCCAATTTTGGATCCCATGACCCCGGGGATGCTGCAACAGTTGTAAGGGTGAAAAACAGTCACTATTTTCAGTTCCCTTGTAACCACTAAACAAGCGGTTATAAGTTGAGACTCCCTGTATAAGATTTCAGGGTTTTTCCCCCCAGTTTTTTTCACCATTAAATCTTGGTCTGCAGTTCTACAGCTTCTCCTTGCTTTTTCAAAAACAGAGACCCTGGCTATGACTCCCACCACAGCCTTCTGGATGATCACAAGGCACCTCCTGCCCAGAGATGCTCCTCTCTTCACCCATTTTTCTCACCCTCGGGGCGACCTCCTCTTTGTCAGGGTGAATGATCTTCAGATCCAGAAGCAGCTCCCCCAGCACCAACACGGCATCCAAGATCACCAGGCAAACCACCACGATCTGGGATGAAAAGGGAAAGCATCCAGGTAAAAACGATAGAATGTGTTTGGAAGTCCATCAGCAAACGTTGAGGTCGGTTCCCTCATGTATAACTGAAGCCCAAACACACAAATGTGTGCAGGGGAAAGGGAGAACAATTGGGACCATCCCAATTTAGCATTTCTCTAACCTTTTCCCAAAACAATGATGGAAAAAAATGAACAGTGATAGCGAAAACTTGCAGCGTTCCTCAACCTGGGCCACTTTCAGATGTGTGGACTTCAACTCCCAGAATTCTTCAGCCAGCATGAAGTGCCCACATCTTAAAAGTGGCCCAGGTTGAGAAACACTGACTAAAGTCTTGGCCTCCTGACTGGAAAACCAGGACCGGTAACCCAACTCAAATAAGCTAACAATAAATAATAGCCCAATCAAGGGACCAGCAAATTCATTCCCACCAAAACTGATAGGGCAAGCCACTAGTACATGAGACCAAACCCCACTCCCTTACTAGCACTGATGGTGTTACCTAGTTTGGCAATTAAACATCTACAAGAAAACCACCAAGCTCAGAGAACAGCAAGAACCCCACGATAAACCTGCTTGAAAATGTGCACAGAACCATGGAATGCCTTGATTTACTTACACGGTTTGCTGAATAAACCAGGATTGGCTAGCCTCACTGCTAGTTATAGCAGACAAAGGGATTTCTTTGGTTTTGGTCAAACGTGGCATAAACCATACCTGGGATTTGGATACGACTGTCCGTGACTTACAGTGCAAATCCAATCAAATGATTAAGGCCGAGTGGAACACCCCAGCGTGTCAACCCAGCAACAAGGTGGCACCCAAGATGATCGGTATCGTCCTGTGCTTGTGTGACACCGAACTCAGACAAGAGAGCCCCTGGTGACAGACACCTGAAGATTCCCCCATCCATACCTGGAACTTGTGGGATTGGAACAGCCTTTTCATAATATCTCTAAAAGTTGGCCGCCGGGCCGCCGATTCGACTTTAACCGCAACCTCTGGTGCCTTCCCTTCTCCTTCCTCTTCTTCCTCCCATTTCTTGTAGTCGTTGTTCCACTGGGAAGTGTCATCTCCCACCACCGTGAAGTGTTTCAGATACATCGACATGGTGGTCACTCAAAAGTACATCACCCCCCCCGGAGAACAGCTGCAGAAACAGATCCTGGTTAGTCAAGGCTCACCTTCCTAGGGGTACATTCATGGACAGGTAAAAAGAGAGAGAGAGAGAGAGACAAGAATGGAATCACGCAGCTAAAGTGATTGTTCTTTCAAGGGTGTCCGAAAGTGGCCACTTTAAGACTGGTGGGCATCAACTCCCAGAATTCCCCAGCCAGCCGTGTCTGTTTCTTTTTTCTCTTAATCTCCTAAAGTGGAGAGAGATTGCAGAGGAAGGGATTACAAGAGAGCAAGCTCTGCTGACTGGAGAATCCTGGGAGTTGAAGCCCACAAGTCTTTAAAGTTGCCAAGTTTGGAGACCCCTGATTTAGGTTACTGAGTCCAGATCCCTACTCAATGTAAGGCACCTCCCAACAGCCCAGGCACTACTCAAACAAACCTGCCAGAGTCACTGACAGTCAGATAACATACAATTTTAACAAATCATCATCAGGAAATTTCCCACTTCCCTAATGAACTAGTCTACCCTTGAATCATTTTTCCTACTAGGAGCACTCAATGCAGCTTCAATTTGTTTCCGAGAAGGGCTCCCACAGCACTGACAAAAGCCCAGGAGTTAAGTGCCTCCTTTTTAAAAAGAAAAGAAAAGGAAAAGGGGTTAAGAAACCAACCTCTCCTACGGGACACTGCGAGGAGAAATAAAATAAGGGACCCTTTTAGCGGAAGCCATGTGAAAATGCTACCTTGAAGAAGAAGAAGAGAATTAGGATGCATCCCCCCCAGGCAGAAGCCAGCCCTGATCCTGAGAGCACCTGCAGACTCCTCTGCCTCTTACCGTGTCCAAGCTCTCTTCCTCCGCCCGCCAAGCCTGTCCCTCTTCTGCCAAGGAACCTCAAGCCCAAACGAGAGGAGCCCCCCAAGCCCTCCCGGGAGAGAAGGCCGCCTGCCGTGCTAGAGGGACCTTCGCTGGCTTGTAAGAGAGACAAAGGAGAAGCAAAGAAAAGAAAAGAAAAAAAACCCCACGTTTCCTGTTTGCTTTACTTTGCATAAGACGTTCCTGTCGCAATCTTTGCTGCTGATAAAACTGCGGGAGGGGCGAACGAGGGGAAAGCCCACCCGGAGTTTAGCCAACCGCAGCGGCCCTCGGAGGAGAGCAGTCGCCCCCGGCATTTGTTGTGGGTACAAACCACGGCTAGGACGGTCCTCCTTGTCCTTGGCTGAGATGGCACCTGCGTGCGGCACGAAGAACCCCGATGGGAAGTTCCTGCAAAAGGAGGACCCGCTGGGAGGGGCAAGGTCTTGCTAAATCTAGCCCAAAGTGCAAGCCCTTGGCTCTAGTGCCAATGGAGAGAACTAGCTGGCACCGATGCCTTGCTCTGTTTATGGTACCCCTAGGGGTCAAGTAAATACCAGCCAGTGCTGGTTTTTATTTCTTAACGAATGCACCTTTTCTTTTATGTACACTGAGAGTATTTACACCAAGACAAATTCCTTGTGTGTCCAATCACACTTGGCCAATAAAGAATTCTATTTCTATTCTATTCTATTTTATTCTTATTGTACCCTATGACTGTCATTAAGTGTTGTACCTGATGGCTGATGAATGTATATTTTCTTTTATGTACACTGAGAGCATTTGCACCAAGACAAATTCCTTGTGGGTCCAATCACATTTGAATAAATAATCTATTCTATTCTATTCTATTCTATTCTATTCTATTCTATTCTATTCTATTCTATTCTATTCTATTCTATTCTATTCTAGTGTTCCTGTTCACAAGTAGCTTCCGGGTGATTGGAAGAACAGGTTTGCACGGCTATGCAGAGGAATCGTAATCGAATCAGGATCAGGAATTACAGCCTCCTTGTCTATTTGCTGCCCAGAGGGTTTATCGCAAATATTGTCTAGCCACAAACAGGCCCGCTTTCCCTCAGGGGCTGGGGGAAGAGCGCATGGTTTACGAAATCGGCAAGGAACTCTCTTGAAACGCTGAAGGTTATTGCAAAACGGTAGCAGTCTATTTTGAAGCATTCAGAAACCTCTCGGTGTTTTCCCCCAAACAAACGGCACGTACTTTGCTCTTTCTTCATCTAGAGTGGCCCCTGCTCTCCCCTCCTCCCCTCGCCCTGAACTTGAACAGGTTGGGCTAAACCGACACAGGTGGGAGCATCAGCTTAGGGCAAGGTTACACAATCCGCAATCCTGCCGAACAATTTATAGTAACCGTTGCGTAAAAGGGAAAGCAGTGCCGAGCTCAGCCTCGGAAATTCAGGGTTTTACCTATTTATAGCAGCCAGCTCTTAAAATAGGCAGCTCCAAGAAGGAAAGTACATACCTGTTTCTTGGCTAAACCCAAAGGGGTTGAGTTCAAGAACCATCCCAAGCCATTAATCATGGATTACAAACATCAATGGCTTGTGGGTGCTTAACTCAGAATAAAGCGTTGCCAGTTGTCTACTCCAGTTCGGGTTCTAAACCCCCATAGAAAAAGAGGGGAGATCGCTGAGGCAGGAGAACCTCAAGGTGGCCTTAAGTTTTCTTGGAAAGCTGCAAGATTAACCCCCTCCAAAACTCTAAAGGAGGAACTTTTCCAGGCATGAAACAATGAACGTTTCACCTGTCACCTCTCTGGGAAACCTGGATTTCACTTTCAAAGAAAGATTCGTGGCAAACCAAACCTGTGGAGAAATCCTAGCTTCCCACAAACCATCACTTAGCCACCTTTCATTCACCTGGGAAGAGAGGCAGATCTACTCTGCTCCTACAACGCTAAAAGGGGGAGGCTGCCTCCTTGTTTAACCATGGTTTGTTGAATAAGCCACAATTCTCTGCCAAACACAAGCAAATTGCTAATCGTACAACATACGGTTTTTCACAGTCTCTTATCCCGTGTGCTGCCTTCCCAACCTGGCACCTCCACCTTCCAGAATTCCCCAACTTTGGACTTTGAGCCAAAGGCCAGGAGGCATCTCCCAACTCTTGTGAGTCCACCTCTCAAATTTTGCTGACCAAGCTTTGCTGACCATAACTTGTCCGCTCCAAAAACACCTGGGAAACTCACTGAAGCTTGCAGAAAAATCTGCCTGGTTAAATATTCTTCAGTCTTCCACTGAAACCAACTTGAGGGATTTATTTACTTTTCTTGCAATCCGTCAGTCCCTCCTCCAAGGCCTTTCACAACTTCTGGGATCTTTTAGAAAACCCTCACCCCAATAACCCTCCTCCCATTTCTAGCCTGTCATGTGAAGGTGGGGCCTCTTGCTTGCTTGTTCCTCCCCCTCCCCAATTTTCAATTAAAATGTCTCTTTTTAAAAACACTTTCAGCCATTCTTCCCTGTCCAGATTCTTCCCTTTTTTGCGGGCTCAGCAAAGCTCACTTTATCAAAAACCCCACATGACAAAACATTCCACTTTTGGGCAACACTTCCCAGGCCTTCAGTAAACCCGGCAACTCTGTTTCAAAGCTCTGCTACTATCCTGGTGGAGGTTTTCTACGAACATCTTTAAATGATCCCCCAGCTTCCTTCTATATTCTCTGCGTTTCAAATTTCTTTTCTTCGTGAAAGGCCCTTCCTTCCACAGTTAAAAGGTTTTATTCTTTATTAATGTTGAAAAACTCTTTTTCTCATTTGAAAAACAAATTTTGGGGAGGCATTTTTCCTCTCTGGGGAGGGTTGTTTCATTTCATGCTGTTTAGCCACAAGCATTTACATTTCTTGAGAACAACGGTCTCTGCAACGAAGTCACGCTGGGTCTATTAGAGTATAGGGGTCTCTCCAACCTTGGCAACTATAAACCTGGAGGACTTCAACTCCCAGAATTCCCCAACCAGCTTTGAATTCCCCAGCCAGAATTCTGGGACTTGAAGTCCTCCAGCAAAACTGGCTGGGGAATTCTGGGAGTTAAAGTCCTCCAGGTTTAAAGCGGCCAAGATTGGAGACCCCTCAAATTAGATTATAGGAGTCTCCAAATTTGGCAACTCCCACAATTCCCCAGCCAGCTGGGCTAGACTAGGCTTACCACCCTGTGTACAAACCACAGGGGCTGGATGTGGGAGCCCCCAGGGCTGGCTGGGGAATTCTGGGAGTTGAAGCCCACCAAATCTTAACGTTGCCCAGGTTGGAGACCTCTTGATGTGGACCCCGGTTAGCCTCTTAGGGTGCAACCGTGGGGTGGGCCAAGCTGCATCCAAACGCCGGTCGGTCGGGAACCCTGCAAGCGGCGCTCTCTTCCCCTCGTCCCCCATGGCCAAGCCCGCATCGGCCGCTTCCAGACGAGCAAAGAGGCCTCTTGGCCCGGCTGGCTGAGCCGAGGAGGTTGCGGACCGCCCCTCGACTAAGGGGGGCGGGGGGAACGGGCGGGGAGTCAGCCCCCCCCCCCAAACTGGGGAGGGGGTCCTATGGGGAGGGGAGGCGGCCCGGCTCCCAGCCTCGTCCCGGGACTGCTCGCAGGGCGAAGGGGAGCTTTCCGGGCTGCCCCGATCCCCTTTGCTCGTGGCGCAAGCAAGGGGCTCCGCCTCTCGGGGTCCCCGGCTGGGCTCCCCCTGCCCGGAGGAGGGAGAGCTGGCGCGGCGGCTCCCTCCTTCCCTCCCGGGGCCCCCCTTGCCGTACCGTGCGGGGCCACCATCCGCTTGGAGAGCCTGGGCTGCCTGCGCCTCCCCCTCCTCGCTTCGCTCCCGGCCCCGTTGGCGCAGAAAGCGCGTCTGGATGCAGGAGGAGGAAGAGGCGGGCAGCCCGGCCGGTCCCCCCCCCCGCCCCACCTTCCCGCTGGCCGGAGGGCGAGGCGGTAGGCACCGCTGGCCGGGCTCCTCCGCGCAGCTGGCGGGGGATCCGGGCAGGGGCTCGGCCGGGTCCCCGCATCCCGCCAAGCCCCGCATCGAGCCAGCCGGGGCTGGCGAGGCGGCGGCAGGGGGCGATGCGCGGGGAAGCCGTTGCCTGGCCAGGGAGGGCGGAACCGGCTCGGCCCCGATTTCCAGGCTTTCGGCCCGGCCGAGTGAGCAGCCCGGCGGGGGGACGTCCCGGGCCAAAGGTGTGCAGGTTCTGCTGGCCGGCCAGGCCCCTGAACCCTCCCGGGCGCAACGGGCCTCTTGCGGAGGACGGGGTGGCCGGAGCCTCCCGGGAGTTCCCCACCCGCCCCGTCTAAAGGCCCGCTGCGCTGCCCCGGGCAAGGAGCCCCACTGGCCGGGAGGCCCTCGGGGGAGAGCGCCGCGCTGGGTGGCGCCCAAGCTGGAGAGGAAGCGCCAAGGCAGCCGTCGCCTCCCGCCGCTTCGGGCTCAGCCCTCCCTTTGCTGCCCGTCGCAGCGAGGAGTCTCCAGCCCGGCCGAGGACGAGCGGTCGTCTTGCAGCCAGTCCGGGCGCTGGACCGGGCAGCGAAGTCCGCGGCTGCCCAGGCCGTCTCGCTCCTGGCTGCCCGCCGAAGCGCCCGGACTCGCGGGGACGGAGGGGGGGCTGGAGCTGGAGCTACTCAACAGGCTGCGAAGTGCCCGAAGGACCCCATCCCGTCGCCGGGACTCCCCCCCCCCCCACGGCCATTGGCCTTACCTTCTAGGGTCCAGGCCTGCACTCGGCCGGGGCAGCCTCGTGGTCCCGCGCGAGCCGCATGAATGGCTCCGGCGGGCCCCTGCGCTTGACCCGTGCCTGGCCCGCCCGCCGGAGCCAAGTAGCCTGGAGTAACCTGCGAGCCAATGCACGGCGACTTAGCCCCTCCTGGTGGCACCTTCTGTAAGGCCACCAGTTGGACGGGCCCTTTGGCTGCTTCTGCCTGCGCCCCAAAGGCAGCGGTGGGAGGCCGGCTGTGCCCCATGGGCTCCACTGCCCTGGATGAAGGTTTCTGCAGCCGCCCATCTTCTTCCCTCCCGCAAAGGTCGCCTCCTCCGTGGGACACCCGAGACGTCTCCTGTCCACCCAACCCTTCCACCTTGACTGGCCCTGCAGGTGAGGCTGCTTCCAAAAGTGGACACCTTTCCCCTCTGTGACCATCACCTCTCGGTCAGAGGAGGCCAGGGGTCGCCCTGCCTTCCATCAAGCACTCAAAACCCCACAGCCCCAAATTTACTCATCCTACAAGGAAAATGCCTGAGGCCTTCTTGAGGCTCCCTTTATTAAGTTCTCACTTTGGACTTTATTATTATTATTATTATTATTAATTTTACGGAGAGGAAGTTTCAAGTGA